CATTGTAGGTCTCTCTGGGAGGTGATGGTACTCCGGATGTTGAAGGTAAGGAATTGCCACGGCTTGTGTATGTTTCACGAGAAAATCGCCCTGGCTATCAACACCACAAGAAATCTGGTGGCGCCTTGAATGCTCTGGTACGCAACTTCAACTTCAACTTCAAGTTATATTTGTTACTTCCATTATGGCTGAGTTATTAGAAAAGTTGTTAATGATGCGCGCAATTTCATCTGTCCTAATAAAGGTTCGAGTCTCTGCTGTGCTTACAAATGCCCCTTTCTTGTTGAATATGGATTGCGACCACTACATCAACAATAGCAAGGCTATAAGGGAGGCTATGTGCTTTCTAATGGACCCCAATGGAAGGCGCCTCTGTTTTGTCCAGTTTCCATTGAGTTTCGATAGCATGGATAGCCATGACAGATATGCTAATCACAATACCCTTTTTTTCAATGTAAGGGACTTTTTTCTTAATTCCAACTTGTCAAACACGATTATAAAATGTAACGTTTAATTTCACTAACCGGCCTTCAACATCTGCCTTTAATGTTACTTTGGTTATAGATCAACATGAAAAGCCTTGATGGGATTCAAGGTCCGGAATATTTTGGTACTGGATGTGTACTTAACAGGCGGGCTTTATATGGCTATGACCCGCAAATATTTAAGAGAAGTTCGAAGATTAATTGCGACTGGTGGCCTATGTGGTGTAGCTGTTGTTGCGGTGGTTCTGATTCCGTGATTGATCTTGAAGAGATTGATGAAAATCTTGAAGACTATGATAAACTAGATATATTTGATCTCAAGGACATGGAAGAATCGCTTGAAAGTTCTGACGTGGAGGAAATACTAGAAATACTTGATCTTGGGCAGAGTGGAGAAGATCTTGAAGGTTATGAGGAGACAGAGGAACCATCCCCCATGTCACGGGAAAAATTTGTGAAACGATTTGGGCGGTCACCAATTTTTGTTGCTTCCACTTTGAGGGGGTCTGGCGGGGTTCCAGAAGGCGCTAATGCTATGAAGGAGGCCATTCATGTTATATGTTGTGATTATGAAGAGAAAACAGAATGGGGCAAAGAGGTAATGTTATTCATTGCAACGAGTTTTTCGCCTTCAATTTCTAATTTCTGTTATAAACCATAATTACGAACCAATCAGGTCTTCTTCTCAAATTTATTTCCTTTGTAGATTGGTTGGATTTATGGTTCAGTCACGGAAGGGATCTTGACTGGTTTTAAGATGCATTGTAGAGGATGGAAATCAGCGTACTGCATACCAAAAAGAGCAGCTTTCAAGGGCTTTGCTCCAGTAAATCTATCAGATCAATTATTCGAGATTTTGAGACGGGCTCTTGGTTCCGTTCAGATACTCTTGAGTCCCCATTGCCCGATGTGGTATGGCTATAAAGGAAAACTGAAGTGGCTTCAGAGGCTGGCTTATACTAATACAATTGTTTACCCAATCACTTCAATCCCTTTGTTAATATATTGTACAATTCCAGCTGTCTGTCTTCTGACAGGAAAGTTCATCATCCCAACGGTAAGTAAATTACGTTTTGGTCAGCCAGAGCAATTAATGAATTATATTTGGCTCATATTTGATGAGATATTCGACCTCATAACAATTAATGTATCTTGTGAACTGATTACAAGGATAACTGATCTGTTTTAGGCTATCGTATAAATTTCACTATCAAATAAAGAGAAAGAGGGGGAAACGGTAATTTTGCCATCAGATATGCGTTTCCTGACCAGGGACTTTATTCGATGCAGTTGACAATTCTTGATAGCATTTGGTTAATGGCGCTTTTTGTCTCCGTCATCTCAACTTCCGCGCTAGAGCTTCGATGGAGCAGGGTTAGCATTCATGACTGGTGGCGCAATGAGCAACTCTGGATCATTGGAGGTGTTTCTTCCCATTTGTTTGCTTTATTTCAAGGTCTCCTTGAAGTTGTTACTGGAGCAGATACTGATTTCGTTGGCCGGGCAAAGACAACAAGTAACACTGGCTTCTACCTCTTAAAGTGGACTAATCTTCTCATCCCACCAACCACTCTCGTAATCTTGAATGTTGTGGGAATTATGGCTGGCATCTCAGATGCCGTCAACAATGGCTATGGCTCATGGGGACTTTTATTTGGTAAACTATTTTTAGCCTTCTGGGTTATTGTGCACTTGCATCCTTTCCTCAGAGGTCTGATGGGAAAGCAAAATAGGACTCCTACTATCGTTGTCCTCTGGTCACTATTTGTAGCTTTAGTTTTGTCATTGCTTTGGGTTCGGATCGACCCATTTTTGCCCAGGCAAAGTGGTCCGGTACTTAAACAATGTGGGGTAGAATGTTGAAGTTGCAGAGACTAGTGGATGTAGTGTTGTTCCATTTCGTTTGATGGTTTTGGAATTTTACATTTCAGGAAGACTGTTAATGTAGTATGTAACACCTCACATAATTATATATACAAACGTGATAAAATACTTTCTTTAAAAGTTCATTTAGCATTCAAAACAGATCAATTTCAAAATATTTTTCAGACATAATAAAATAAATTATTGAAATTTTATATTCATGGCAATTAAAAATATAACATAGTATATGTTCGAGGAGTATAGAAGCCTTCACGACTTACTCAACCAATGCCTTTCTTTGATTCCTACTAGATTCTTCACTTGAAAACGTTGATATAAAGGATGAGATCAAATATTTTACTAACTACTAAAATTCTAACCTATACAAGCAAACTATTTATGATAAACAAAAATCCGTTTATATGTGTGTATATATTTATGCATGAAAATCACTGATTTTATACATTCAACTCAATTTTATTTTTGATTCAATAATATACCAATATCATTTTTCCAACATATCCAAAAATAATGTGATATGCAGCCTCCTTTATATTACTGTCCACCCTGACACCGCTGATTGGAGGCATAGGCTAATACATACTCCAATAGGAACTAACCCATTTTACTGAATTATTCCAAACTCACCGATACTGGAGATATATCAGGCCAAAGATATAAAGTTCAAGTTTAGACTATGACTCCCCTTCTTTGCAAATAAAATAAGGAGGTGTTATATGTCCCACAGCTCTAATGAATTCATGATAAAAGGAAAACATGGAAGGAGGAGTCCTGACAAGTGCTATCCACTGTGCACCAAGTGATGACATATCACTTGGTAATTTTATATCCATCCAAATCTAATTATATCATTAGCCCAACAATGTATATGTTATGTGCAAATAATATTACATCAGCACTACGTCCTCAGATATATTATTAAAGTAAGATAGCAATAAAATTTTTGTATCAATAACTCAATATATTTAAATATTGATCATAATTAATAACAATAAATCTTAAAAAAATAAAAACTTTATTTGAAAAGTCATAATACATACATATATTTCAATATGGTATAATAAATTAGTAAATCCACAATATAATCATACACAATCCATATGTACCTGAAAGAATTTTTAGAGTTACCTATTACTCTTTAGCTTACAAATATTTATGCAATGATTACTCCAAAATTCTCAAGAGTCTACGAAATTACACACAAATATTTATTAATATAAAACTCAAAACTATTTCAAAACTGCTCTAAAATTCTAAGATTACCATCTAAACTAAAATTACAAAAATATATTAACTCTCACAAATCTAGCTATTTATAATGAATACAATATTATTTGGAAATAAAATTTATTTTTTTCATATAAGAAATTATTTAAAATTAATAAATTAAATAAATACATATTTACTACCCAAAATCTAAATATTTCATATTAAAATCTCAATTATTTATTATAGTCTCATTTAAATTTTTCCTCAAACCAAGTAACTCTTTTGAATTATAAATAGACTTTAACTTTATCTAATTTCATAAAATTCTTAATTTACAATTCTTCAAGCTTGCAAAAATTATTTTAACAATATATCTTTGGCCCATTCAATATTTGAACAGATTAAAACCTTAGTAATATATTGAATAATCCAAATAAATTATTTAACTTAAATTTAATCACTAAAAACATTCTACATGTCTTGAAAAATAAATATTCAACTAAAATCTTAATTGACAATTCTCAAAATAATCATAAAATAAATATAAACAGATTAAAATTTCTTAATAATACATCTTTAAATTTCTACAATTATATATTATCAAAACTCATTACTAACTCCATGTCCAAACAATGAAATTTTCTCCAAACATTATAATGATACTAATAATATAAATCTATAAATATATAGAAAATATTCATAAAAAAATTTGACAACAAGAAGTATTTTTGAATACATAAACGATCTTCAAAGCTTGTCCTAACTTTCAGATCATGTACTCTGCAGCTTAACTTCTCACTCTTTCTTTTTCTATTTCTCGCACAAAATGAAGGGAAGAAGGATTGCAAGTATTTAATATTCTCACATTTACTTCTCCCTCCTTATTTTTCTTTGACCTGCACCACCCCCCATATTTTTTTTCATCTGCGTCTTCCCTCCTTTTCCTTCTTCAATTAATACTCCTCCTATTTTTTTCCACCTCCATATGTTCCTTCTCTTTTTTTTCTCTTCATTTAATACTCCTTCCCCAAAATTCTTCCATCTTAATTACCTTTCTTTACCACCCCCACCCTCCCACCTTTCCACTGTCGGTAATGGTGGGTGTCTTTTCTTTTCCTTTTCAAAATAATAATAAAATATTATCATATATATTTAAATTGCAATTTTTTTTCTAAAAAAATAGTATGTTGCATGGTATGCAAGCTTGAAGGAAGAAAATAGTTATATTGAGCAATTCAAGAGACCATAATGTCTTTGAGCAGAATAACGTGTCATTTCAGATGATATAAACACGTTACCTAAATGCCTATTGTGCCAACTACGGCACACCACAAAACAATTAGCTAGTGAGTTTCACACGCATACGCTTGGGCGCACAGAAGCTAAGGAACAAGACAGGTTGTGTCAAAAGACATCATCATTCTACATATGAAACCTTGTTAGCTTATTTAGGGATATTGTGCTCAAGGGTTCCACAAGAGAAGTCTGCTCAATAGCCGAGAATTGTTGGGCCACAAAATGCATGGTGGGTCTAGACTCAGGGTGCGTTCGCGTGCATGCCAAGGCTATGGTCATTATAAAGGCTATCGCTTCGCCCAATCGAGCTGGAGGAGGTGGGAATCTTTGGTCTATTACATCCTTCACCAACACTTGTGGATTCTCCATTGATGGCAATGTGGCCAAGAAATCGCCGGGGTGCTTTCCCAGTAATATCTCTAATACCACCACTCCAAAACTATAAACGTCACACTTCTCTGTCACCTGCGTTGTTTGTGCTAGCTCTGCAAAATCAATTTTAATAAAACATTGATGAATTCCTTATCCAAAAAAAAAAAGCAATTGGTTAGAGTCAGTACCTGGAGCCATGTAGCCATAGGAGCCAGCAATTGAGGACCATGTTGTTGAATTTGGCGTAAGAAGCTTCGCTATGCCAAAATCTGCGAGGCGGGGTTCATATTCTGAGTCCAGCAATATGTTATTCAACGTCACATCTCGATGTACAACTTGTGGGATGCAATCGTTATGTAGGTACGCTATAGCTTGCGTTATCCCTTGCACAATCTTCACTCTCTGAGGCCAGCTTAATACCGTCTTCATTTCCTCGCCGTACAACACTTTTCCTAGGCTGCCTCTTTCCGCATACTCGTAAACCAAGTGTGCGTGTTCTTCAGTGTGACAAAACCCATAAAGCTTTATGATATTGCGGTGTTTTGCTTCGGTAAGAGCTTTTATCTCATTCTCGACACTACGAAGATTCTCAGCTAGAATGTCACTAGAGTTTGAGATATTGAGTCTTTTGACAGCGACAACTATACCTGTAGGTAATTCTGCTCTATAAAGACTTCCGAAACCTCCTTTTCCAATGCAGTATTTGTCGTCGAAGTCATCGGTTGCTTTAACAATTTCAGCAAATGTGAATTTTCCCTTTCTTCCCCAAATCATGCTTACAGTTTTTTAGTCTTCTGAGCATCGCTGGACTCTTCGTCTGGAAGTTTGGCCCGTTGGTGGAACACTCGGATTCTAACAACAATCACCCCGAAAATTAGTAGCGCACAAACTGGTATAATGACACCAAGAAGTACCTTTTTGTTGACCCCTCCAGAGTTGCCTAGGGAAGATTCTGTGGAACAAGCAATTAATCCTTTTGCCTTGCCGCACAAACGAGAATTTCCAACATAAGCTTCAGTAGGTGCTCTTTGGAAAATACCTTCCCTGGGTATAGGACCCATCAGGTTGTTGTAAGAAAAATCGATGGATTGAAGACTGAGCATACTTGAAAACGATGGTGGGATTGTCCCTGAAAGATGGTTGCGTGAGACATTAAGGATCTGCAAATGACTGAGCTTTTCTAGGTTCTGAGGAATTGGCCCTGAAAGAAAGTTGCTGCTGAGGTCCAGAAGGTATTGGAGCGATAACAGGTTGCCAAGTTCAAATGGTATCTCCCTAGTTAAATTGTTATGGCTCAAATTCAAGCCAATTAAACTGCCACAGTTACTGAGCTCTTTCGGTATGCTTCCAGTAAACTTGTTCTTTGATAAGTCAAGACAATTAAGGCGGTCCAATCTGCCAAGAGTCTGGGGGATTTCTCCTGTCAAATGATTGCCGCTCAAGTTAAACAAGTAAAGTTGCCTTAGATTTCCCATTTCTGGTGGAATGCTACTAGTAAATTGATTGGAGTGTAGGCTTAGATATTGTAATTGGCTTAACAAACTCAATTCAGATGGAATTTTCCCAGAGAGCTTGTTGTTATCCATGTCTATCTTGATTAAGCTCTTGCATTCGCTCCATTTTGGGGAGAGTTCACCAACAAACTGGTTGCCACTGAGTGTGATGGATGTAAGATTTAGGTAAATCCCAAATGCTTCTGTGATGTTTCCTGTGAATTGGTTTCTCTCAAGCTTCACCATTGTTAATGCTGAACTATTCCTCAAGCACTTGGGCAATGGTCCTGAAAAACTATTGTTATTCACCCTTAAGTCCATTAGTGCAAAACCGCTGCACAGATCAGGCGGTAGTTCCCCGGAGAAGCTATTATTTGAAAGATAGACATATCTCAAATCAAGGCTGTACTTCCCAAAATCTCTGGGAATGTCGCCTGAAAAATTGTTGGTGAATACAGAAAGATTTTGTAACTTGGTTAACTGGGAAATAGTGTTGGGCAACACACCATGGAGAAAATTACTGTTGACATCAAAACTTATCAATGAAGTGAGGTTTCCAATTTCCATGGGAATGGTTCCTGAGAGGTTATTCGAGGCAAGAGTTATGATTGTAATGTTTTCAAGTCTCCATATGGTTGAAGGAATTGGACCAGAAAATTTGTTTGAAGAGACGTCTAAATGGCTCATTGCTTGCAAGTTCCCAATCTCGGGAGGAATGGGGCCAGAGAATGTATTGTTGTATAGAAAAAGAATGTCAATTTTCATCAACAGGCCAATCGATGCAGGGATTTCTCCCCTAAATTTATTGTTTTGTAGCTGCAAAGAAGATAATTCTGTCCATTTAGAGATCAACGAATCAGGGATTTGACCTGTGAAGAGATTATCTGATAAGCCCAATTCTTTAATTTTTGTCAGGTTGGACAACGACATTGGCAAGGAACCAACCAGAGAATTCACTGCTAAAGCCAGGAAGGTTAGGTTGGTACAAAGGCCAAGCTCAGAAGGAATGGTAGAATTTAAGGAATTTTGTCTGAGATCAAGACGGCGCAAGTCACTAAGCTGGCCTAGAGAGGAAGGAATTTCCCCCTCGAGTAAATTCTCATTCAATTCAAGAACTTGTAGTCCAGATATTAATCCTATTTCTGCGAAAATGGAACCTGTCAACTTGTTAGCACGCAGATGAATTTCTTTGAGATTGGAAAGCTTGGACAAGTTTGTTGACAAGTGTCCTTCTAGCTCACATTTGCTCATATCGAGGTATTCAAGCTTTTGCAGATGGGTATACAATGACTCTGGTATTAGACTCATCGGATTGTAGGACATGTCTAGAAATGTCAAATTTCGACACTCTAGAATGAAGCTTGGAAATTCAGAAGTGAATCTATTGAGAGCTAAACTAAGGTGGGTTAAGGACGACATGCCTGAATATATTGACCAGTCAGGAGGATTAACAAAGTAGTTTGATCCAAAGTCTAGGTGCCATACCTTTTGGAGCTTCGTGACCTGATAGGGAATGGTCCCATTAAGGTTGTTGTTGTATAAACTCATATACTGAAGCTCTTTCAGCTGATCTAGCTCAGCAGGCAGAGTTCCATTGAAGAAGTTGTGTCCCAAGTCCAGGAAAATGAGCTTGGAGAGGTTAACAAGAGCAGATGGAATTGACCCATTGAAACCATTGTGACTGAGGTTCAGGCGAGTGAGACTGGGGAGAGAAGTGAAGTCCAAACCCGTAAGTGAGCCAGTAAGATTGGCTCCGGAGAGGTTTATCTCTGAGACTGTTGTATTAGTGCTGTCACAGACTATGGCACTCCAATTGCAGAGATTGTTCGTATTGCTAAGGGACCATGAGTTGAGAGTAGAAGGAGACAGACTGTTTTTCCATTTAATCAGAGCTTCTGCTTCTGCTCTCAGTGATGCGGTTATCTTCGATGGAAGAAAACATACCAAGAGTAAGTGAAAGAATAGAGCTGAAGCCTTGTGAGAGCTTGTCATGCTTCGCCCCAGTGAATGGGTTACATGCTCTGCTTTTCCAGCCCTACTCAGCCGTCTTAAAGAAGTTTTTTTCTCTTTTCTTTGTGACTATTTTTAGTCGAACCCCATTTCCTATCAAGGCTTCTAGCTGAACACGAGACGTAGAAAGCTAAATGGATCATGCATGGTCCACCTTGTGAGGTATGCAATGAGATTAATCAAAGTTCTTTGACAAATCCTGGCTCAATTCATTTTGTATAACGGTTCCAGACCTTTTTTTTTAAAAACTTTTTTTGACCAAATTTAAAGTTGACTCTGGAAGGTTCTGCCTGTGACGATGAACATAGCCGTCTTACGTGGGGGTTGGTAGTACAGCACGACGTTCGCATTGAGGACCATTACCTATTTTATAATTCTCTTTAGAATATAAGTGATAGTTGAAGATTTTAAAAATTAAAGTTATCTTCAATGATCATAGAAATAAGTTATTATTGATTTTTTCCCCCCTAAATGATAACGCTCTTGTAATGTTTAAAAAACTGAGCCATAACTTCATAGAATATGAGCGTGACTTTATGATACCGGAAAAGAAACTAACTTTTATGGTCCTTAATTATTATTAATATAAGTTATGAATATTTAATTATGATTTTCCCTTATTTTGTAGTTGATGTCTGAATTCTAAACTCTTAACCTTGTGTAGTACTATCTTCGATCTTAAATATAAGATCTACTTGACTAATTTGAATAGATTAAGAAAATAAATTAAGTTAGTTATTTGTAGTAAATAGGTGTTGTCTTTCCTGAAATATCCTTATTAATCAAATATATTAGTTAGAACTATCATTATTAGAAGAATTATCTTGAGAAAAAATACATAAATATAAGAGACAAAATGGATTGAGATCTTATATTTAGAATCAAAATAAAAATCAAACAAGATCTTATACTACTTTCGGTCCTAATTATAAGAGCTAGTCGACTGATTTGAGGAGATTAAGAAAATAAGTTAAGTTAGTCATTTGTAATAAATATGTGTTGTTTTTACTAAAATATCCTTACTAATTAAGCGTGTTAGCTAGAACTACTATTATTAGAAGGACTATCTTGGAAATAAATATATAAATATTAAAGACAAAATAAATTGGGATCTTTTATTTAGAATCAAAATAAAAATCAAATAAAATTTTATATTAAGAGCGGGAGGCAGTATTAAACACAAGAGGTAGGATGTGTTTTCTTTGTTACGTTATTATGAGTCATAATGAATTTTCAATTGTCGTTGCCGTGAGAGAGAACGAAGAGTGAGATCCATTCGTTTGAATATGAGGTAAGTCTTGGTCAAAAAGTCAGCGCAAATATGAGAAAATGATTTTGTGATGTTTCCAACTTTTTAATTTCTAATGTTTTGAATTTCAGCCTAACGTATCCCTTTAACGTTATTATTAGTTTTGACTTTTGACCAATTTGAATGGCATAAGGCGTGAGTGAGGTTCACGTCATTTTGATCATTTTTTTCAATGAAAATAACGCATTAACGTAGGCTTTGGGGAGTTTAGTTTCAAGTCTGTAGAATTCCTTTTTTCCAGCTAAATAGATTTGGCGTTTTCTTTCTGTCTTCCCCTCCAGTTTTCTCCATATATTGTTGGCAAAAACGAAAACGGTCTATGAAATTCGAGCCAATGTGAACCTGGGGGCGTTTCTGCCAGAAAAATGCCGTGAGTTGACGAGCCAAATATTCAGTCTTGTAAAGGATTATTCATTACATGACTTCTGGTTTAAGTTGAAAGATGATTACTTCAATTCAGATATGATTCTGTACTTAATGAAATATAATTTTCTTTCTGAAGCCTTCATGCTGGTATCGTTACCAAATATTTTCCTCGATAAATAGAGGATGCCCCATCACAGCACTACTAAAAATTGTCCAAAGAAATGAAAAGGTCTGGGGTGAGAGAGGCTCGAACTCTCGACCTCAGGATAACTCAGAAGCTATGAGACCTACGCGCTAGCCAACTGCGCCACCACCCCTCGACGTGTGTTGCGCTCGCTTTATGTAAATATATACTTGTTTAAGTAAACTCCGAAAAAAAAAACTGTGTTCATGGGGAGAGCCTCAACTTTACATTTGAGGTAAATTGTATTGTTTGTGTGGTAGTGAGATTTTTTTCCTCAAAACTAAGTTTCATGTTAAACATATAAAAAAAAGATGCGACAGACAGGTGGATGCAGAATTTTAATAAATTTATTTTCAATGTTAGCGTATCATTTGTAAGAGGTTTCGCACCAAAGAAAGAAGAGGTGATATCTTTAATATTTGAAATATTAAATAATTTTAAGAAAAATATAATAAATGCAGCAGCCTTTTTTTTTTTTTTGGGTTAGGCACAGTTATAGTTCTATTAGAAGCATTCACAGTCGATATACTGTTGGGCACTTCTTTTAACAAGAATTTAAATATTGATTCATCATGTTATAATAGACTAGTCTCTATTACTAAAATCAATTAATTCTAACTGTTGATACAGCAGCCTAATTAACAGCTATCAAGGAGAAGAGAGCGAATAAACGTGAAAGAAGATCTGGGCCCTTATCTATGGCCTTAGCATTATTGGGCTATTTTTTCCGATCTGCTGATTTCTTACTGGCACAAAAAGCCCAACAATGCAAGGGCTTTAGGGCCTATCCTGCGTAACCCACAAGAGCCCAAGACTACGCAAGGTTAACAAGTGAAAACCAAGTTGATGCTAGATTTCCCAGTACTTACAACCTTTTAAGGTACGGCCATCACTTGTCCAGTGGGGATCGTCTTGATTATTATTTTACATACAATAATCATCGGATCATTATAATAATTCGTACCAGCTGATCTGGATTCATTAAAAGGGAAAATCCGATTAATTGATTATTATGTGTTGTTGGTCGATGACAAGGGTGATGGGTGAGCATGCCAAGCACAAGGCAGCAGGCTTTTTTAATAGATAGTTGGGGTTACAGAAAATGGGAGAATTAAAATGGATGCAGCTTTTGTTTCGGAGCTACCGTTGATATTGAGGTCTACATTAATTAAATACTACACACACACACACACTAGTCGTTGGCAAGATATATATATATATATATATATATGTATGTATGTATATAAGTCACCTTCCGGTCAAAAAAAAAATGTATATAAGTCACCTGAGGTTTGCTTAACCCAGAGAATGAGAATGAGATATGGGCAGCGGTAACTGGTATGAAGAGTTCAGACCGGGGATATATGTAAAAGAAATTGAACATAGTTTTAGACTTTTAGTGAAATGCCTTTTTCTCTTGGTCTCTTGCAAGACATGCATCTTTTCCTCTAATATATTTTTCTATTAACAACTGGGCATCTGATTGTCCAAAAGAAATTAATATACTTCACTCAAGTGGTGTTTATTGTAATGAAGCATCTGATTAAATTGAATAAAATAAAACAAAATAACTAATTTTGACTGTGACAGAGAAAGCTACGCTTATACATGTAAACACACAATAGAAGGAGGTGGTAGCCAGATGCCATAGCCGTCCGCACGTATAGTAATGGCAGAAGGAAAATGGGGTGCAAATGAGAGAGAGGATCACACAGGAGACGGTACGGTGGATCTAAGAGGAAGACCCGTTTTAAGACGCAAGACTGGAAGATCGAGGGCTTGTTACTTTATACTGGGTACGTGTTTTCTCATTTTTTTCTTAGGAATTCATGGTGATGTTGGGTTAATTATATTAATTATTATGAGACAGGGTACGAGGTGTTTGAGAGATTGGCATGCTATGGAATAGCGGGAAACCTAGTGCTGTATCTAACAAAGAAGCTGCACCAAGGAACTGTCAAATCTGCAGCCAATGTCACCAACTGGTCCGGCACTGTTTGGATCACCCCACTCGCCGGCGCCTACATCGCCGACGCCTATCTCGGCCGATACTGGACTTTTCTCATTGCCTCTCTCATTTATTTATTGGTCTGGGTGACATATATACACACTGATATACTTCTTACGATCCGGACCTCCTTTGTAGTTTGTAGTTTATAATTAGGACAAGAGCTATTATTAAATATTAATTCCTGCATCTTCATTATGATCTCTCTTGTTAACGTGCTCGTTGTTTTAAAATAATAGGGACTTTGCATGTTGACGCTGACAGTTTCACTGAGCGTAATGAGGCCCCCGCCGTGCAGTGAAGGAACACAAGATTGCCAAAAAGCAACATGGTACCAAGTTGGAATGTTCTTCTTCGCTTTGTACGCCATCGCAATTGGGGCGGGTGGAACCAAGCCCAATATCTCAACCATGGGAGCAGACCAGTTCGACGACTTCGAGCCCAATGAAAAAGCCCAAAAACTTTCCTTCTTTAACTGGGGGATGTTTTGTCTCTTCTTGGGCGGTCTTTTCTCCAGCACTTTCCTCATCCACGTCCAAGATAACGTAGGCTTTGCCCTCGGCTATGGCCTTCCCACAATTGGGCTCGCCTTTCCAATATTCCTATTCTTGGTAGGAACTCCTTTTTACAGGCACAAAAAACCCATGGGCAGCCCCATAACCAGAATGTTGCAGGTGCGCTTCTGGCTGCTGTGAGGAAGCGGGCTGTCCGGGTCCCACGTGACCCGCAAGAATTGCATGAGCTAACCGCAGAAGATTATGCCCGCAACCAGAGACCAAAGATTGATCACACCTCTTCCTTAAGGTTAACATGTCAAAACCAAACTGATGTTAGTTTTCCTAGTTTCTTCCTCCTCTGCTTGCTCTAATCGATGTAAAGTGCAGATTCTTGGACAGAGCAGCGACGAAGACGAGTGAAACATCGTCATGGATGCTTTGTCCAGTGACACAAATTGAGGAAACGAAACAAATGGTGAAGATGGTTCCTGTTCTGATCGCGACATTCGTTCCGAGCATCGTAGCAGCTCAGTCCAATACACTCTTCGTCAGACAAGGCTCCACGCTAGACAGGAGCATAGGTTCTCATTTCCAGATTCCTCCGGCATCTCTTATTGC